CAGCTAGTTTTTTGTATTTTTTGGTAGAGACGGGGTTTCACCGTGTTAGCCAGGATGGTCTCGATCTCCTGACCTCGTGATCCACCCGTCTCGGCCTTCCAAAGTGCTGGGATTACAGGCTTGAGCCACCACGCCCGGCCGGTAGCTATTATTCTTAACTGTTCTGTTCCTAGCTGCAATTCTCGCAACAACCTTATTTGAAAGGACTCATATTTTCCATATTTTTCAGGTGTTATAATTAAAAGTTGGAGAAATTTAGTAATTTCTGTAAGGTGGCATACCCAATAAGTGATGGAGACCCAAGGTCACATTCTGGCTGTCTGACTTAAAAGCCCCAACTTATGCTGGGATCCTGATTCCATTGGAGACAGTGAGCTCCTAGAGTGCTTTATTTTATAGTATTAATATTGATAGACACTGAGACCCCAAACATATACATGGGGCAAAATAAAATCTTTCCTTAAAGTACTATAAACTCTAGTTTGATTAGGTAGGTAAAATAAAATTATTTGGTAAGGTAGTAGAAACTCTTGTACTTTGACCTTAAAATTTGCTGTAATGATGGTTAATCTTTCTACAACCATTGTGTCAGTTAGCAAATTGTCATCCTATTCCTTAAAAGTCACAGTGAAAAACCTTTACCTCAGAAAATAATAATAACATTTGTCATCAGACATTAATAAAAATTAATATTTTGGCTCTGAATTTTAGGTCCAGAATTTTAAAAGGACTCATCTGTTATATAATCAAGCTTCATTAGATCCACTGGTAATTATTATTCTTGGGATACTAATACTTTCTTTTGATTTCTTTTAGCTTCCTCTGTCATCTCTGTCCCAGGATAGCAAACTTGTGTATATTCAGCTGTTATGGGATAATATCAACCTTCATCAGGAACCAAGAGAACCTCTGTATGTCTCATGGAGGAATTTTAGTAAGTAAAATAGAATTAAAGACATAACAGCCGGGTCCCGTGGCTCACGCCTATAATGCCAGCACTTTGGGAGGCCTAGGCCAGCGGATCACTTGCGGCCAAGAGTTGGAGACCAGCCTGGCCAACATGGTGAAATCCTATCTCTATTAAAAATACAAAACTTGGCCGGGCGCGGTGGCTCACGCCTGTAATCCCAGCACTTTGGGAGGCCGAGGCGGGTGGATCACAAGGTCAGGAGATCGACACCACGGTGAAACC